ATCCCCATACGGTGTACTGAGAAGTTACCTGAGCAAGAGAATTAGCCACGTGGGAAGCGCCGGGCGCAGCAACAACTCTGACAACAGCGGGCATAATTGTCGCGCAATTATCAGGCCTGCATTAGATGCTGACAAGGCAATTGTGGCAATTAGTGAGTCGAAAACGAAGTGCCAAGCCAGTACCGCATCAATTAAGGCCCAGGCGTTGGTTACAGAAGTGAATAATTATCACACCCACGCAGATGACCACTATGAACTATAAATACCGTGAAACGTGTGCATATTTCAACCCTATCTGCGCATGACTATGCTACCGTCACCTATGATTAAGGATTCTCGACGGAATCCGAAAAGTCAGGAAAATAAAACTCTTGTTCCAGTGATGGCATCCTCTTCTTCTTAAAGGAATAAGTCTCCTGCAAAGTGATGTCATGATTTTCTTTATTTTCGCGTCCCTTTTTACCTCTATTCCACAGGATCTGACAGTCGAGACCTCAGAACTACTTCCACGAAGCAAATAAGTAAACTCCGAAATGCGGACTATTTCTCAACTACTTTTATGGGCACAGTTGATTTACCGTTGGAGTCTAAGCGTTACTGGGGCTCTTGTTTATACTTCTTTCTGGTCTTGGCATATTTACGGACAGTGGTGTCTCCTTCTGCCTGGCAGTTCCACCTTTTTTCTTTTCTTACGTCAAAAATATGCTGACAGTTCTTAACTTCCTCTGTTGTGTGGTATCAGAGTCTAACAGCCTTTGTTCTGTAGACGTCATGTAGTAGCCATACCTTTGCTTTCACCTGATTCTGATTTTCTGCTTTTGTGGAAGAAGTAGGAGTTTAGTTTTTGTTACTGTATCCGTCTCATGGATGATTTGTTAGCTGATTAACAATTCCTCACCTGGATGTGTCAGCGCATTGTTAGGACTGGATTTTCCTGTCAGGCTATCTGTTGTTTTAGATTAGATGGTTGATAGCTGCTGCCTCTGTGGAGTTTTTGATGCAACGGAGGCGAAAGTCAAAACTAGCAAACCTTTGATTAAGTGGATGCTTTGTGACTGATTGAAGTTAAAAATAAGGCGCCCACAACGACCTAACTGAGGGCCTGGCGCCAATCTCTGGCAGCATCGATAACAAATGGATGTTATTTTGTTGTTTCATTGTTCTTGTAGCGTGCGGACGTCTTTTCCAAAAAAATATTTATATATTAAGTGTTGCAACTAGCAGGAATAAAATACACCGATCTAATCAGCAAATTTTTACACGTCGTGCATCACTGCGCATTAACAGATTTTATTAAGTCTTTAAGGATCAGTCATCGTATAGTTGTTTTGTTACAATTCAAGTTAATCTACACCTTTTATGGTGAGGGCGGAATACGCGTTATTTTGAAAGTATCGTTAAAATATTTGGCAAAAATGGTTCTATTCAGGGTTATAGAATATTAACTATTTTGGTATTTGTGTCGCCACCCATAGGTAATCGTTCCAGAAAAGGCAATCCCGAGCGGTAACATGCCCATCTACAGCAAGCAATGTGCACGAAAAAATGGCGTAATCAATGGAAACCAGCGAATCCGGTCCTATGGTTTAATGAGTAGAAAGTTATCTGGCTGAAAATTGAACTAACTTTCGTTAAATGTCCGATCCTTTTTTATGATTTTCAAAAAGACCTTATTAGTGAACTACTAACGTAGGCTTACTTCTTCTGTTTCTGTGTGGTATTAGCCTTATTCGTTGACTATCCGCTGAAATAAGCCTAGGCCTAACTAATAATCGAACAACTTTTCGACATAAGTCTTGTAACATTTACAACGTAATTTTGTCTAATTTTTCCCAACTTGAAGCTGCTTTGAGCCCCAAAACTCACCAGTACTTAAATAGGTTTAGCTGGGTTTTTTTTCCTAAATAGGAGCAAAGCATTAAATAACTGATACGAATTGGTAGACAGATGGATGATTCATGTGAGAGTCCAAAATCTAAGCCCGGGGTTATTTCCCTGTTTTTAGCATGGTTTTACTATTAGTCCTTTGGCTAGGTTTGCAGACACACAGAAACGGCAGGCCGTCACCATTTTACTCCGGCCCCCATCTATTTTGTGGACAACTAAGCGATACTCCTAAAAGTGCATGGCCCTAGAGTATAAGCTTCAAAATGATCGCTACTCCATTGCATGCACAAATGCTATATGTGAAAGCAACCGACGGAAACCAATCTGCTATTGCAGAAGCCTGGGAACTGACCTGGATGAATTTTACTGCTATTACGGACATATAACCCAGCTGGAAATCTGAGTCGGCAGAGAGCAGGTGAAACTGAGCAGTACAGGAGGACTCCTTTTATGATTTAAACACGCCTGGCTGTGGAAACCACACAGCCATCACTAACGCAACTGTATTGCAAATCTCCGTAGGAGGGGGGAGGTCAAGCGAACAGTAATGATGCAATCGACCAGACGTCAAAAGACCTCTCTGTATATGAATTTATATGAAACGACAGTCGTCAGCAGACTCTCTGATATCGGGTCTTAGGACAGCCAGATAACCGAGGAACGGACTGAGAATAATTTTGATTCTGCCAAATATAAATTCATTGGAAGCCAGGCAATAAATTTTTAATGACTTAAGTTTTTACACCTCTATTACTCAGGACGACGAGTATGTTACTTAGTTTATTTGCGGTCATCGTCGATACATGTTCACACAGCAGAAGTCAAAAGGAGCCAAATAACTAGTAAGCGAGAAAATACTGCCGATAGAAAACTATGACTCCTATTTGGAGGCGGTCGCTTAGGCCATCCATTGATTTGACAGGGGTTGCACGAGAGCTACGTCGAGGGAAATAAGCTGGACAATCTTAACCTGTATCCAAGGTTTGTAGTCACGACTATGTGTGTCAGCATATTCATTTGCTATCTATCACCCTTTCGTTCGGCGCACGTCTGAGGGTGCAAGACATATTCGTTAAAAATTTGAATATCCTCTACAAGCACGTAGAAAACTCATTTGCCTGTACAGCTGTCACTAACTAAATCTGGAGGCAAAACACTATTCAAGCTTCCTCATGTACAACTTTGCTGCTCCATATAGTATTTTTGTTGAGGAAGGCTCCTGTGCATTTAAGAGGTTTGCTCCTGAGGCGCAATACCACTACCTTGTAGGAGAACCATAAGAGACACACTACCAAAGGTTTGTATGAAGCTGAGTCTAACTCATCCTGCAGGGTGTAGTATTCACGAGGTAATCTACCACAGAAGAAATCGAAAATGATTAATCTTTTCCAGGAAAGCGTTTGCTTTGTAAAGGGTTTCTGGATTTAAAAAAAGTTAATTCGTTTTTCAGTATGGTTCCCCTATCGAGTAGCGAGTAGCAGGTAACAGTAGCCCACTCGCGGAGCAAACTCATTACGAAACGTGTAGCATTCATTGTGCTACCGTAATCTTTCTGTAGCTACTTTGCACTTCCTCATTTAAAATATCAATCGATTTATGCACATTGGAGATCCAGTTGCTTTTTGTAATAGACGCGCCGGGTCTATCTTTCCTTTCTGGACTGGCCTTATTGTCACAAGTACGAATTGTCTCTTCAGAGAAGCTTTCCGACTGTTGTTTGACTTGATCTGTTGCCTGAAGTGCCATGGAAACATTATGCTGACGACAAAACATTCAAAACACAAGCTGATAAGCGATGACGTCGCAGTAAGTTTTTATTGGGTTCAGAACGAATGGAACAAGTAGTAACCGCAAGCTCAAAGGGTTTTAATGATCATTGGCCTTCTTCTACTCTGTATTCTCTCACTTCTGATCGCGGACTCTCCCGGTCACCTTCCTGACCCGCGTTGACAACGTTTACTAAAATGAGGATGTTAGCGCTCTTCAGAAATTCATAACGACTTAACAACAAAAATGTAAATTAAAACAAAGGGGTTAGGTTGACCGCTTACATTTTACAGGAGACAGGGTTTCCAGTGGACGCAATTTGCGGTGGTATTGATCGTTCTTATGCAATTCCCCCTCCCCTACTGGACACTGGCAAAGGAATCGTCCATAACACAGGTAGCCTTGCGCTGAAATTCCGTAAATTTATGAGTTGGGATTGCTGTTATAGTTAGGTCACAGGGATCTATACCCCCTCCTAGAATTTATCCCAAAGCCATAAATACAACGAAAGAACGTTCCTATGCTCCCATCCTGCCAGGTAAACCATAGCTGCGATTATGCCTTTCCACGCCATCTCTACTTTCGAAATGCATTACACAAAATGAGATTTTAATTTGCACTGGTGTATAAACAGACATGGTTAGCCTAATTTATTGCAAAATGTGTAGAGTTTAGTTGACGGCCAGGTTTAATGACCGAAATTGTTTAGTTTTATTTTTGGGTCGCCAGAATTCTCTGCACTTTCATCAGCTCACTTCTTCGGGTAATTTGAGGACGTCCTTTCGGTCAGTGGAAAGG